AAGAATTTCCCATATCCTAAGAATAAATTGTTCATTATATTATTTAAGTTAGAGAAAAAAATAACAATAATAATTGTAATACAAACCTTCATTCATGGATGAGCAGTGTGGAAAATCAACTAACCACATTGCACTTCTTTTTGACGTGCCATTGACAGGTTGTGTATATCGAGCTATACAGGTCATAACATTTTTCTCATCTAGAACAAAATTAAAATTACTAAGGCACTTAAAATCTTACAAAAAATTATTGTTTCTACAATTTTTAAAATTAAATCTTTTGTATACTTCATGGTAGGTACAGTCAGATATTGAATAATGCATTAATCATAATTTTATCTATAAATCATTTGATGATATTTGGTATGCTATTTTCATTTTATTTGATTTATGAATAAAAATACCTTATAAACATCTATTATTTTAAATCATAAAAATACATTCTCATTATTAAACTTTGTACTTAAAAATTATATTTATCACAGTTTAAAAACAGATAAAAATATACTCAAAATTTAAATTTGAAAATATTTATAATTCTTATACTGTCTACAATTTAAATAATAATACATTTTACTGTAAAAAACATCAATTCAAATGTAAACTTGATAGACACCAACAAAGTAGAGGTGTCATGATTTTAATATTACAATGTCCGATAATCAATTAAAACACGCACATTAGACTTGACATAATATAGATATAAGACATTTTTCCATGAACATGTCTTACCTTCTTGATGATTACATTAGTTTATTACTTAGAAATAAGTAGGAGAAATATGTATGATGTATTATTCATGAGTTATATGGAATTTAAAAGTACTTCTATCTAGTACTACTTAAATTACTACTATCCAACATCCATATCCCATAATTTTAATATTATAAATGCAAAAAATCTGTCTGTTAGTTTCGTTAATTTTGAGATTTGATAAGGAGATAGTATAGACTCTAAAAAAAACACAGGTTCCTGCACAAGCCATAACTTTTTGAAATTATATGAGACTAAATAACCACTCTACTAATGTGATTGAAAAGCCATATTAGATATTAGAGCAGTCACAAACCCATAGCATTTTAGACACTAGGTGTCATAATCTCCTACAGTGGCTAAGATGCTAGAAGAACCACAGAAATGACATAATTTAAATGTTAAACAACAAAGATGTCATGCTTAAAAATGTAGAATGTGGCATTTGATTATGACCCAATAAATGTACTATGTTTATCATTAATTAGTCATCTTAGAAAGAATGGATAAAAATGTAACCATTGTTGTAATGCATTTAGTGGAAGAGGAAACAGTTGGTATGTGTTGGTATAGTAGGAAAATCTCACTATCATTACAAGATGAGCAAGAGAAACTCCTAAAAATTCTTCTTCCGAACAAATATAATAAATGTAATGAAAAGTATTTTTTTTAATTGGAAAATATAATTCATGTTTTCAGATGACTTCATTTGATGTGAATTTAAATCTTAATACCTAACTTACTATCTCATTATAACAAAACTACGGATATATGATCAAAGTTCATATCTTGTATAATACCACTTACAAAAAAATACAACATTTTTACATAATATAAATATTGTTATTGAACAAACATCAATTTTTAATTTAAGTACCCAAGTAATAAACTATTGAAGCAAATACAAAACATTGATATTTTAACAGACAAATGTATAGCCAATAGAAGAAAGAACTCTATTGGGTACTAACTATTTTCCAAAACTAATAATAAAAACTGAAACCATATTTAATAAAATATCTCACTTCAATCAGTCAGAGATCAAAAATGATATTAAATAAAAACAATGAAAATCTCCATTAAATATTATATATATGTATACTTGTTAGTCTTGGTAACTAAGATTTTTTTTCTCCTGAAGGGTTAACACTTTATAACTTATACTTGAGGTATTTAACTGGAAAAATACTTAAGTAAAATTAATTTTTATCTTCCTAAAAATTTGACTGTAATTTTAATATCTTCAGTATACTATAACTATATAATTATAATGATGTATCTAAGGAAACAAATGGATTTTGACGGTCAATTGAACCATTGATTATATTTTTTTTAATAAAAAGTGACATCCATTTTGATTACTGAGAGTGTGCTTAGAAAACTTAAGTAAATTTATTCGTTTTGAACAGAAAATGACGTATAAGACCTATCTAATTGAGTAGATATAATGAGATATATTTCAATGTATATATATGTATAAATACAACATAAATAGTTAGAATTTGGGTATCCTCAAGACAGAATTGGATATTGTTTTTAAGTTAAAAATTATTCAAAAATCTGGAACACAACATTGTATTATGTAGGTAGTAATGTACTGATGTGTTGTTAACATTTTATCACTCAATACTTCATCACTTCCCTATTATGACAATAAACTACATTTTTAATTCTGAATGCATCTTAAAGTAGTATGTTAACAACGATTACTGCCTTGATTGGCACAGTGCATAAGAGTTGTAATATATTTTATGTAACATATATTAATATTATATAGAAGATAAATAATATATGAGATCAAATTGGTTTTAAAAAACTCCTAATTTCCATTAAAATATATGAAAATATTTATAATCAGCATACATTAATTATTCTGTTAAAATGAATTCTTTATTAATGTTATTGAAAAAGGTAAACATTTTTTTAACAATATGATTTAATGTTTAAAAATATATTTTTTTTATTTAAATACTTTGATTGTTAATAAATTTGCCAACTTTAATGTACGGTTTTAAGGATAATAATAACGTCTTGTGGTTTAGTATATTAATTTTGAATTATTGGTGTTTTAAACTAAAATATTTAAGAACAAGGTATAATATTTTTTCAAAACCTACATTGTACATCTATTGAACTATAAAGTTAAAGGATAAAATAAGTAAAAATTAAATTTACTAATGTATGTTACTAAAGCAATTTAATATAGAATTCTTAGATACGTTGATAAACAATAATTTCAATAGCTTAACTACTTAAAATTTCTATTACATACATTTAAGATGTTAAAATAAATCACTGTGTGTCCTACGATATAATCTTTAAATTATAATTCTAAATATTAAATCGGCACGCCAAATTTGCATTTAAAATAAAATAGAAATGTGTTATAGTAAAACATAATAAACCTTTCTTCATTAAAATAATATTAAGTTAATACAAATAGATAACTATATTGAATGACATATTTAAGAAAAAAATTTTAAAGCATTATACATATAATTAATTAATAAATCAAATCATCAATTTTGTATGTACATAAGCAATTAACAACACTTAAAAAGAAAATAACAAGTTACAATATAGAATTTAGCTAATTATACTGTGACATAATATAATGTTTAATGTTTTTACCTAAGCATAATCAGAATGAGCGACATTAAGAATATGTTTTATCAAATAGGTATTTGATTATTGCTTTAGACTGCTTAGATATTAGATGATATTAATGCATAAAACTTGGTCATGTTGAATGAAATATTCTTGCGCAATATAAAATCAACAATGCTAAACACATTGAAGGCCTTATGTGATCGTATATTATATATACATACATATCTAGCATAAAACCATAGTTCCAAAACTTACCTTTTATGTAGCATCGAAGGGTTTGCAACTATTACTCGAGCAACACTAAATTCTATAAAAATAAACGCGAAAAACACCAACCGGAAGTGAATAACAGATACTAAGTCCGTAGAATACCATTTAACAGGATTTTAAAAACACACGCTCACAGAGAGAGAGAAAAATAACACTCATATAAAAAGCAGTGCCATGCCCTTAGAACGGATATATATGACCATTTGCCAATGAATGAAGTGAATAGATGAATGAAACGGAAACCCCCCGCCTGCCGACCCCACTCTCACTTCCGGTACATAACCCAAAATTACTATGGGCCACGAAAACATGAATGAACACAATGCTACCAACTTAAACAAGACTCATTTTACAGAAATTGATTTCTATTTTTTTTTTGCCAACATTACAGTTTTCGACGAAAAAAAATTATATGCATTATAATTTATTATAATAATAACTACATAAAACATAAATAATAAATATAATTTAATGGATTTGATGAAAAATATAAGTATTTTATCAAATTTGTATACTGTAAAAATTCATAAAGATATTACAGTAACACCTCATCAGTCATCATAAAGACATTGAATAACAAATTGAGACTAAGTTAATTTGATATTAACTTAAGTTATTCAATATTATAATTAAAATAATAAAATACTAGTTTTATTAAATAAATATAGTATACGAACCTAATTTGTAACATCCAATCCAGTCTTTAGTTTTTCGATCATCTTTAACAATGTTCCATAGTACCTTTATAGATAATCGTATACCATCTTCTGATAGATGGACTTTATTTATAGATACTTTTAGATATGTATTGTCTACATCTGAATTAACATAGACTGGTTCGTTTTTGTTATTTTTGGGGACACTGTTGTTAACCGATGTTGACAAATTTTCAACCGGATCATCATTAGTATTTGGGTTAATTCCCACTTCCAATATGTTTACAACAGATTCTTCTGAAACGTTCTCTTCTTGCAAAATTCCATCCGTACTTTGTAAGATTTCTGCAGCCAGGTTGAGATTTAAAAATGGAACAATACGTAAAAATTATTGAATGAAGTATTTCAAGGTTTTTAAAATCTTTCGTAAAATAGAAAAATAAATAATCAGCTTATAGGTAAAAGATTTCTATACAATTCAAAAATGCTCAATGAAAACCGAACTCCAAAGTTTAACTGAACATTTAAGTATTGAACATTCATTTGATATTTTGATACAAACTTGTAACTAAAAATTTTCCAAAATTTTAATATGATAATATCATTCATTGTTAAGGACCTTGAATACCGTGGTAACCAAAACTTATATAGATGATATCTTAGTTCGTGGTGGTGGTAACCAATGATAGTATCATTTAGATGATAAGAAAAAGCAATTTTATTAAATTGAAAGTCCACGGACATCGTACAAGTGGACTTGTGTTATGACCCTAGGCATGACAATTGACAATCATAATTGTATGCAGTTCATTTATTCATTACTATCTTTGATTATAATATTTTAAAAAAGTTTCTTATTTATAATTTGTCCATATTTATTTTGAAGACTCACAATTATGAATCTAATAATTTAAATAGGTAAGTATAGTATACAAATTATGGACTTAATTTTTGTATTTTATCAAGAATTAAAGTTTTTTTTTATATAATTTATTTTAATAATAAACTTAAAATTTTTCAGATTATAATGAATACCAATACAAGTTTTGACTATGATAATATAATTGACGAACTATTGATGAGTGAAAATTATACAGCTGAAAAATATTATATCGAAGGAACTGAGAATTCTTCTAAAAATGCATACAAGGAAGGTTTCACAATAGGTTATCAAAAAGGTTGTGATATTGGATTAGAAATTGGTTTTTATGCTGGGATTTTAATTGGCATAAAAAAATTACTCCAATCAAAAATAATTATACTTTCTGAAAAAGAACTTAACATTTTACAAAAGCTTTCAAACCTAATTGAATTATTTCCTCAGATAAATGATAAAAATGTTGATATCATCAACCAGTATAATGAACTAAAAGGATTATACAAAAAATTTTGTTTTAATTTAAAAATTAAAAATTTAGACAAAAGGATTCTCAATTTTTCAAAATGGAACAATTAAGATCTAAATTAGAAGAAGTTATTATTTATTTAAAACCATATTTACCTATTGCTAATAGCCATGTAGTTAATTTTATTACTAATAACTTTTGGGAAACGATCATACCTAGTGACATACGAGAAGAAATTGATTTAAAAGGCACAGAGTTTGTGTTTTCAAATTTTTGGTCAGAAAATCAAGTTCCTGATTCTCTTACACGTTTTTTTACCTCTTCAAAATTTAACAACTTAAATTCATACCCAAGTACTTGTTATATGAAATTAGATGATGCATATAATGTACTGCAATCTTGGGGTTATAAGCCTATGGATAAACCACTTAATTTAAAAGAATTTATGGGTGCTAAGAAAATGCATGAAGTAGAAGTTATGGCCAAATTAGTGGCAGAGTTTTCTAAGTATGCTGGTACAGAAATTATAGTTGATATTGGCGGTGGAAAAGGATATTTAAGTTCACTCTTAGCTTTGGCTTACAATTTCAATGTGCTTGGTATTGATTCACAATCAATCAATTCTGAAGGTGCTAGAATTCGAACAAAGAAATTTGAGGTTTTTATTTAACATATAGTGGGTGTTGATTATTTTTTAAATATAATTTTGCTTTCTTTTCAGAAATATTGGCAGTCTATTAAGAAAAAATCAAACAGCATTCCTGATGAAAAGATAACTCTTCCAATAATAAAAGAAAAATTTGATACTTATGAAGAATATTATGAAAAATACAGCAGAAAATCAGCTGTGCTGGGTAGTACTTATAAACAAATTACAGAATATGTTACTGAAAATACCAACATTGCACATTTAGCACAAACTGAATTTAAAGTAAATAACAAAAAAGAATTTACTTTAATTGGACTACATACATGTGGTTCTTTAGGTACTACGTGTTTAAAGTTATTTACTGAACCTAAAAATAATTTAAAACTATTGGTCAATGTTGGTTGTTGTTATCATTTAATTGAGGAAGAATTCACCAATGATCCATTTTGGGATGATATTGAAATTGCATTGAATAAAAATGAATCATATGGTTTTCCTGTAAGTAATTATCTGAGAGAAAGAAAATTTGTACTTGGGCGAGATGCTAGAATGTGTGCATCTCAATCACCAGATAAATTTTTTAATTCTAAAGATGTAAGTTGTTTTTACGTAATGAGGTGCATTATGGCCATGATTATTACACTAGAGAAAATAAATAAATGTTTTAATTTAATGCTCATAGATAAACAATTCAACAAAACCACTGTTCTATAGAGCCTTATTACAAGTTTATTTAGTACAAGAACTTGGATGTAAGGATATTAGTAGATGTCATGTTGGAAGGTTAGCACATAAATGTTTGACATTCAATGAGTATGTGCAAAAAGCTGCTAAACGATTACAATTAGATATCGAGGTACAATTAAGTTTAATTGTATATCTATATCTGAAGTATAAGTATTAAAAATTTTATTTTTTTTTTTAGATTGACAATGAAAAAATAAATGTATTTTATGACAAATATTTAATTGAATATGAACGGTTAAAAGTATTTTTTCTTTTAAAACAAGCGTTAGCTCAAGTTATTGAAGGACTTATAATAATGGATAGATTACTTTACCTTTATGAACAGGTAAAGTATATTATATTTGTTTTTTACCTTTCCATTAGATCAAATTATTATTATTATTACTTTTCCTATGTTTTTAAAATAAAATTTAATTTACTTCATTAAAAATCAAAAAGCAATCGGTCAAAACAATATTTTTGAGGACTCACTAGTTATATCGAGGCATAACATCATTCTTATTAATTATTCTTAAAAATACATTTTTTATTTAATTTTGGTTCTATAAATAAATAAATTTAAATGAGTCATTATTTTTAGAATTATTATAATTTATTAATGTTCTATAATATACACTAAATAACATGAACTGAAAACTTAATAGTCTGTTGATTTGTATTTAAAGTATCATTTTTATATGCAATCACTGGCGACCATGTTGCTCAGTTTGTTGATCTCCAAACTATTTAATATGTACCTACTACTATAAAATAAAATTTTAAAATGTTGTTTTTATTTTTTTCAAACCTTTATTTCAAAGCTTTGTCATTGGAAAAATCAACCATTTCAAATAAATTTATTATGTCTTGTTATGTAACTAAGAGTTGATTCAAACTTTCAAAATCAAAATGTTTACCATATTTATACCAATATTATAAAAAACCATAATTTGTTGTCATTGTTTTTAAATACTAATGTATCTTTAAATATATACATTTTAATTTAAGAAATGTGGTTATTTATACATATACGTTTTATATTAACCTCAAAATTAATAACAAAAAATTTTTGTTTCAGGGAATTGATGAAGCTTTTGTCGCCAAACTTTTTGATCCGATATTGTCTCCTAGAAATCATGCGATTATTGCACTAAAGAAAAATTAAACTTGAATAAAAAAAACTCTATTTTATACTGATACTTATTTTGCTTTAGAAATCTTAGTAATATTTAAAAATTCAGCAATATTTTGACTGATTCTTTATTTTTATTAATATCAAACTTGATGAAATGTAATGTTTGTATCGATGTTACATTTATATTAATTTGCAAAGTTAAAACTAAAATACTTTATAATTATATTATTTTAATGTTGATTAATAGCAGCACTGAGACTGATTTTATGAGTCTTGACTCTTGACTAATAGCAGAAAACATATCATAAATCCTACTGATTACTATAAAACAATAATTGTTCTTTTTATTGTGGACATTTTTTTTCAAATTTCAACTTCAATATCATTTCTGAAAGTTAATCTATTTGGTACTTTGGGGTGGATAGAAGGGTGTGTGTGTTACACATAAATGTGTTAAATTTGAATTCTATGATATACTATAGGAAAATGATTCTGAGCTATGATGGTCTATATGTGGTTTAATGGCTTGTATCAAGTTAGTTTCATGTTTTATTTTTTGATATTGCTATTAAAGTAACTTATTTTACTATGAGTATTACGGTTGTTGATTTAATTTTTGCAAAAACATTGAATTTATTATATTATTGTTATTATTACTTTTGAGTCAATACCCCCGTAACCATAGAACAATGTGAATAGATTCATGTTATAAATAGGTAAGAGCTTAAAATTAATCTAGATATATTGAAAATGTCATCGGCATTGCCTATGTTTTATAATATACCTACTTAATAATTTCATCTATTAACGAATAATGTTTTTAAATTACAAATAACTTACATTGTTATTATTTTTTCAAATGTGATTAAACTAAAATTTGAACATTAAATATCTATAAAAAAAAAACAATAAATTATTTTAGTATTTTTGGTTACAATATTATACTATAATACTACTAAATATCTAATCATGAGAAACCTTGATTTAAATTTTCAATCCTTAGCTATAGAAATTAATCATTTTGTAAATTATGAACTACAAAATAATTTTGCAAATTTTCATATTTGCTAATTTTGTTCAAATGTATTTTTAATTTTTTTTTCTATAGCTAGGTATAAGCATTGATTAGGTATAGAATAGACAGATAGCCCACGGCCTAAGAGTATTCGGTGACTAAATTATATATTGACGGGTTGCCTATAGATGACGTATTAATTACGGAAACCTAAAGGCTAAAGGTATATATTAAATCTTTATATAATCTGAACAGCAACCACAATCGCTTATCGCGTTTGTTAACAATTATTATTATCGACAATAATTATCAAATAATCAACTAATTCCATAAAATGTCAGCAGCTGCAAAAAATTCAATGGTCCAATAATCATATAACACAAATTAAATCATAATATTAAAATCAGTTGTTTTTAAACGTTTAAGGAAACCCTGTAAAACTATTGTTTGTCGTTTATTAGTTTCAGATTCTGAACGGAGCGATACATGTATTTATTTTACAATGATGTGTGTTTTTTTATACCTATATGGATTTTTTTTGTGCCTGTCATTACGGTTTGAGGCAGTGAAAGTGCAAATTATTTTGAGTTAGGAATACATACAAATTTTTCTATTTATATCTAAGAATTAAAAATTTAAAACGAGATTCCTTATAAGTTTGAGTCAAATTAAATTTTTATAAGCGTTTGAAGTTGAAATTTTTGCATTATTATTTATTAGATATTCACTCGATTTCTCATGTATCGATTTTCTTATTTTGCTGTGATTCAAAAATAGATTACAGTAAACACTTTAATTTTACACCATATGTTTATTTCATCAATTCATATACTTGATAGTTGATGAGATTTTAAGCGGTTGACGGACATCTTCAATTTTGTGAATAATAATAAAATTGTATTGGTTGGGTCAAAAAGTATGAAAATGTAATACAAGACTCTTGATATATTGTTACAATAGAAATCAAAATATATTAAAAATAAACAGGCACCTTTTTTTATAAACATCTTAAGTTCAGATTTTGAAAATGATATTGTAGTTAAAAATGTATAAAATTTTCAATTTGTATAGCTAAGGAATTAAAAATTTAAAACAAGTTTCCACTTAAGCAATTTTCTGTTTAGGTTTAAAAAACGTAAAAATTTATAAACACAGCTTTTTTATAGTTATTTTAGTAACTACAACTTTTTTTTTATTAAAAAAAAAATAAATAATATTTACAATCTGTAGGTACATTAAAAAAAGTTACAAACGCAAATAGGTGTACAGATAAGATAATTGATATGGAGACTGGGAGAAGGGAACTGGGAAGCTATCCATGATAGGACCCTTTGTCCCTTTTGACATATGGTTATTTTAAGTTCAAATTTAGACGATATTACATCTTGTTGTAATTTGATTTTGTCATTTTGTTGTAATTCGGTTTCAAAACAGTCCAATTTCACATAACTATAAATAATATTTTTCCAGCATCACTGATAATTTAAGAATAATATTATCAAATAATATTAATTCAACTTACCGGTTACCATACCAATAATAACAGTATAAAATGTCCTGGACTGACATACCGTCTCCACTCAGCTTTTTCGGATACAAAGCCACAGAGGTAAAATATAATTGAATTCAAATTTAATACCATCCATAACAGTGACCTTCTAGACACCTTATGTACAGCAGAGCGACATCCACTTACCCCCTTTTTCATATTAATATGGATACTTGCTATTTAGCTAGAAACATTATTTTCAAACAATTATGGTCATTGGTCAACCATTTAATAAAATGTTGATTTCAACAATGAAAGAGTATTCAATTTTAAAAATACTGAGTTAATCTTTACTAATGAGCCTGAAAATAAAAATCGCTGCAACACGATTGCGCAATTTTTCCTTTTTTGACCCGGTTAATTACACCACGATTGCGCAAAATATTTGGAACACGATTGCGCCCCGATCCCTTTTTACCTGTTAAAATCACAACACCATTGCGCACCAAATGATAGGTATGTGTATATACTATATACTATGTATAATAATTTATATACAACATAAAATAATGTATACATTCAATACATTTTCATATACACGCACTTGAACCATATAACTAGTTATTAGGTCTATGACTTAAACTTATTACCTATTAATAATATAATATCAACAAACAAATAATATTGAGTATATTGACTTTAATATAATTCATAATACTAAATATTTTCGTTTGAAAAAGTGCATTTTGTGAATTTATAATTTGAGTGCATGTAATATGTATAATATGCAAGTTATAAAAAGTATGTATTGTATGTATATTGTATGCATTATTTTATGTTGTATATAAATTATTATTTATATTTTATAGTATATACACATATCATTTGGTGCGCAATGGTGTTGTGATTTTAACAGGTAAAAAGGGATCGGGGCGCAATCGTGGTGTAATTAGTCGGGTCAAAAAAGGAAAATTTGCGCAATCGTGTTGTAGCCAATAAAAATACATCATATTTCAAGGTACACACTTAAACACCTTACATTGGTATGATGCAAGGTTCACTTACACCGGCTTAATATAAATGTTGTTTTTTTTTATTAAGCTTCGGCAACTGAGGTCTGAGGCCATTAGCTGTTGGTTGTGGTACTGTAGGGGTTACTGTAGGTACTGAAGGGGTACTGTAGGGGTTATGGAACACGTGTGTGTTTGTTTGCCAGAATTTCTAGTGGGCACCCGTAGGTTTCTGGCATGCCCGGGTGGGGGATGGCGGCCACTCTCTCCAGACACCGTGACTTCTTTATCTATGACCGCGACTGCCCGGAGAGAAGTGCCGCCCGTGACCGAGGTTCGAACCGGCGACGGTGCGCGTCGCTATATTTATTATTATTTCTAATAATTTTAGCATTTTAGTTCACAAATCGTTTCTGCCCCTTGGTATATAAAAAACGCCGATCTTCACAAAGACTTAAACGTTCCCACACTTTCTTAGCTAACCAAATCCCACTTCCTCTTATTCCATTCTAAACTAAATCACCATACTAATCCATTAATTAAACGCCTGTCTTCTTGTACAATTCCCGATAATCCTAGAAGAAGATTGAAACGATCTTGGTCTACAGATTTCCTTGATTGATCTGTCGAGTGGTACTACTGAGTACCTTCGCTCTCGGTTATAACAACGCTATTTTCCATCAAAAAAATTACTTATTGTATAAAATGTTTGTATAGATTGTAATTATTCTTTTAATAAAAAAAAAAAAAACAAGCATTTTAGTTTCTTATAAATTATTATTCTATTTTTAGATTGGCACCGAGCGATAAGCTAACTCCCTCCCCCCGTCATTAATGTTAAAAATCTATGATGGGGGTACCACCACCTTGCAACCCCCCCCCCGAAATTGTTATACTATATTAAATAACCTATAAAATATTATAATAAAATTAGAACACATTTTTTTTTGCTTAACAACCCCCCCGAAATTAATTTCCAGTTACGGCCTTGCACACTTTCATCCCGATAACACTAGCGCTCTATAGTGGCTGCATCCTACGTGTAGTCGCCAAATATTAACATTGTACATTTGTATGGCCACCTGTCTATTTTATAATCAATGGCATAATGATAACTTNCCCCCGAAATTAATTTCCAGTTACGGCCTTGCCACCTTGCATCCCGACTACAATAGCGCTCCATAGTGGCTGCATCCTACGTGTAGTCGCCAAATATTAACATTGTACATTTGTATGGCCACCTGTCTATTTTATAATCAATGGCATAATGATAACTTATATGTGATCTTGCATTAAATTTTAAAGGTATTACAACAAGCAAAATATTTTTATCGACAACAATTGGCAAAGAAATTGAAAATTGCTCATTATGTTTGTGAATAGCTCAAAAAGAGTGGAAATATTTTAAACATGTAATCATATATATAAAATGATAAAATAAACACTGAGTGGAAATATCAAGTATCTACTGTTATTTGAAAAACTGATAAATATCCAATGTAAAAATTTGAAATTTAAACTCTTTAAAGGTAAACTTTTTTTAGGAAGAAAAACTTATGAAGAATCTATTCAATTTTAAAAATTAGCTATAGAGATTAAAATGTTAATGAATTTTTAGAAATACTTGGAAATATTTTTTAAATTTTTTAAATGATCATATTAACATAGGCCATAAAGCAATACAATTGTAATTGTAATTGAGTTACACAAAACAACAAAATCTGTTAAGCGTAAGACTTATTGTTTTTCCTCATTGAAACTTTCAATTTTTAACACTTAAAAGTACAGTTCTTGGCCAATCCTTCTAGATTCAATTTTCTATCAGAAATCATTCTCAAAATTGAAAATCGTTTAAAGAAGTAAAATGTGTACGACTGGTACAGTACCTGTACACAGGTCGGACACAAAAACAAATTAAAAGACAAATCACTGTAACAATATATGCAACATGCGTGTGTTCACATAGGGGTTGTTCAATGGAACAATTGTAACAGACTATGAAATAACTACGGTTTTATATTTGGAGCTCAGTCACAGAAGGTGATAGGTACAAATTGTATTAAAAAAGAGAAAGCTAA